GCGGTTGATTATGGGATTTTAGAAAGAGGGAGCGCACTGTAGAAAGAAAGAAAGAAAAAAAACCTCAAAAGTCAGTCTGAGCCCAGGTTAGTTCTTCAAGCTAGTGCAGGAAAATCAAAAAATATTCTTAAGTAGACTCTCTGAAAGAAAAGTACACAACTGCCACTTATTTGGTGCTTTTGAAGAGAATGGCGCATTGCTATGTACATCGTCTATAGATAAAACTGAACATGCTCTGTGGATATTGTACACTGGAGTTACTGGGTGCATTACTGTAAATAAATGATTGCAAGTTTAAGTATCAGACATGATGTCCATAATAATATAATACAGAGCCACAAATAACATTGTAATGTATAAAAATAAATGAAACAAAAGAAAAGAAGTTGAAGTGACAACGCTACTCATCCTTGTTCGGTGCAACTGTCTAACAAAATAATAAGGAATGACCAGGTGTTTTGAGTAGATTTCTGGTTTAGAGATGAAATGTTTTGAAACCAGCCTGTGCTATACATGCTTGACAAGCTTTGGCAGATAAACTGAACTACTGATGAAGAGAAGAACAAGTACTAAGCATCCCATCCAGGAAGTGCTGTGGAGGGTTGTAGTCATGTGATGGCACCAGAGACTGTACGACATAAAGGACCAAGGAATCTATACCTCAATTTGGCAAAGTCATCTTTAAAGTCATATTTTAGCTTATGGCGGGAGTGATTCTATTTCAAACTGAGCTTATTGTTGGTCTAACTTTAGAGAAAGCTTGAAAAAATTGGCAGGTTGTCAATTAGTTTAGTATCATGGGACAAACAAAGCTGACTGTCCTTCGCTGTTAACAGGTAAAATAGCCGTGTTCATGCTGTATGCCCTTAAAACATATATTCAGGACAATACTGTTTTACATTATAACCGATTCCCAAGTCCCTTAGTTAATACAGTCTGTGATGAAGGCCAATGCATGTGATTTAGTGTGACATCTACACATCAGAATGACTATGTTAGTAGACTCAAATCAGAAAGTCCAATAGACAGTGAATCCTTTCTCACGTCTTTCAGCCACAAGTTCTCTCATCTTCTCATAACCGACTCTTATTCATAGCAAAACATTTTAAGTCGTAATGTTGCAACGATATTCTAAGCATCCTTTGCAAACCACGTTTTCTCATAAAAAAGACAAAGCACGTTTTTAACTGTAGGCATTTTTTACAAATTTGATGCTGCCTTTCTTAAAATTCTTATATTGTCTATACATTATATTACAATATTCACAACTTTTGTGGTGTCTACCCATTGGGTAGGATATGTGCATAATATATTCAAGTTATATACAGCACCTTACAAACAAACGTAAAGAGAGACAGACTACTGAAAAAGCACCGTTGGAAGTGAGGCACAACGAAGGTGGGAGCTTTGAGTGCAAGTGGGTTCCTATGTCTGCTCCACACATGGACACAAATGTCGGTCAGGAGGGCATCAGGGGCAACTAGGGTGTCTGTCCAACGCAGAGAAAGAGTCGGTCGTATAAGCTCAGACTATGACATTGTAAGTGAAATTCAGAAAGCGTCTTTAAGAGCAGGTTAAGAAAAGTGTGACGCTAATGAACTTTAGTCAGCATTGCGTCCGGATGCTCGCGGTAGCCTCTGCAACGATCCCAAGCAACAGTTTGGCCCCAGTGTGGTCTGCTCAAACATGAACATTAGGCACCTTATTTACTCACATAATAGTAACATGCAAACCTCCTTGTAGAAAACATAAAATTCATCTTTATATCCTCTTTTTACAAGCTATGACTGCACAGACGGGACAAGCCGAGAGAATTGACAGAAAGAGGAAAAACAGGACTGAACGGGTGAACGAACTTATTGAGACTTTTTAGAAGAATGCAAAATTTTGAACTCGAGTCTCAATACTTTGGAGCGTGTGACCGCAGCCCATTGGATTTTTTTAGGGAGGGGTTGTCCATGTTTACGGCAAGTCGGAATATGACTGAAGTTTTGGAGGGAAAAGCAAAGGAAGCATGAGAGCTTTAGCAACAATAGTAGCGATAGCAGCAACAGCATTAGCAGCGATGTAGTAACACAGACACACACACTGCAGACACACACACACACACACACACACACACACTGCAGACACACACACACATACAAGTCTGGGGATGAGGCATACATTCAAATAACAGTAATGACAGCAACACAAAAGAACAAGTGGGTTCTCATTGTATAAAAAGCAGGGGTGGGAAAATATGACGGTAGGCAAAATGTCCACTCTCCAGATTAAAAGACTCCTTCCATTCAAAAACGTTTTGTCCAAATTATGTCAAGATCTACAGAGTAAAATTAATGCATTTTTCTTTTTAAATTGCCACCTCTATTGGGAGAAAATAAAAACACTAATGGAGACACAATTATCCATCCTTACATCATTCTGTGCAAATGGTGAAATAAAATACTAGAAGGCCACATTTTGAAGGTTAGAGACGAGGAACAACATAGCAAAAATAATAGAATGCAAATTAGGTTGTGGAGGGAGAACTGGAGAAGAAAGATGTAGCTAGCACTGGGGGTCTTGATATGGTCGGCACTAGATCATATACGGAATCGGGACGGAAGCGGAAGTAAATATAGCAAAATACCTATTCATGCCTAAACTTAACCAGCCATTCCCATAAAATAACCCCAACCCAGCCTTAACCCTAACCTTAACCATCTTAATTAGACGCCTAAAACTTAACCAGTCACCACTTAAGGACGTTTTAGTCTAAAACTAATTTGAAAGTAGGATTGTTACTTCCGGTTTTGTCCCGATTCCCTATATGATCTAGTGCCGACCGTCTTGATATTAGCATAGCGAGTTAAGGGCAAGAAGATGGAAACTACGACATGACGACCATGGCATAGGTTTTGTCTCATTAGGAAGGCCAAATATGCATTGCAGTCTCCTCAGTGCAACTGTGTGGCTTTACACAGGTCCAGTTGTACGGAAAAAAAATGTAATTGTCAACATACTGTATAAACATCCATGAGTCTTTACAACTCAGATAATGATAGCGCACATACAAAGACACACAGACATTTCTGTAAGAGTCGAGGAGGAGAGTCGAGTGCTTTTCTGTGTCGCTCAGAGGACTATAGCCACCAATACAGACAGAAACTGCACTTGCACACTAAATCAGGTCTCCAGTCTGTACACTCTTAAAGGGCTTCGTGGCGGACCCACACATGCACACTGCTAAGAGGCAAGAGCGAGAGGGAAGTGCAAAGATGGCCGACGACATGGACAGACAGAAACGGAGCAGCGGAGAAGGCAACGATGAGCAGAGAAGGCTTGTTTTTGTTTCTCAAAAATTCTTACAAAAAGGACCCTCCCATAGCCCTTGACTTTGACCACAAGACATTTTTTAACAAACCTGAAGCACTGGCGAATGCAGACAGGATTCTAAACTTTTTTGTTGATTTTTTTGTGGCTTTAGAGACGTGAAGCTTCCATGTTTAGCTTGGATTTTTTTGTCATGGTGTTTTGCAAGGGGTGCAGTGTTGGCAAAATGCACTGTGCAGATGAGGGATGCAGGGATTATAAAAAAAGACTTCCTCAAAATGGTGACTCGACGAACCTTCTACATTTAGGAATTGATTAGGATTTTAAGGAGAATGGTTAGAGTTGACAATACCCATGAATAATAGATTACATTATTAGGGTTATCTTTAACTACAAAATTAAGTAGACAGAAAGGATTTGATATGGCTAAAAGACTTTTGACTTTAAGGCAATTTTCTTAGTCAATGTAGGCCGTCAACAACTTTAAAGACGGGTTTTTTTTATTTATTTTTTTAGAAAATGTTGAAAAGTTGAAAGCATTGAACAACAAGAGAGCAGATGGTTTGCCAAGTCGCCATTTTGGAGCCAGTGAAGTATACACAGGTGAAGGAGTATTCTGTTACTAAGTCTTACTGCGGAGTAAGCAGATGGGGGAAAAGGCTGGGTACAAGTTTTTGTTGCAGTTTAAAAACAGGAAGGACATAAGCTTATAATACTTTTGTTTGTTTCTTTTGTTGTAGTTGTTGTTTTTGCTCCCAACTGTTGAAATATAAAGTCTGGAGCCAGCGTTCAGTCAGTCCATTCATTCATGAAATAGGATCAAAAAGAAAGAAACACTACAAAGACATGTTCATCACAGAGCAACGTTTCCCTCTTCTCTTTTACAAACAAAAAGATAGTGCAACTTTGAGATAACATTTTCTTGTTTGTGATGAATGTTGAAGTTCCCCCCCAATTATTTTGCTTCCTCATGAACCTTGGCACTATGATTTGGGGGTTGTTTTAGTTGTGATCTCTAGAAGTTCTTAATTCACGCTTTGTGCACAGATCCCGGTCCAAAACGAAAACAAAATGACAATAAAGTGACCTTCCTCAGTTGTGGCGACAGGAGGATGTTAAGAGGAAAGCGTTTCATTCTGTGCTGCAGTTTGTGGTGCGAGGGAAAAGCCTCTCCATGCAGTGCATACGTCCAGCCCAGCGCCTTGAACTCCAACAGAGGAAACACAAGTCTGTACTTGCTTCCTTGCTGTCTTTTGTTAACTTGTAAGTAATATCTATTTGTGCATGGGAGTGTGGACAGAGGACATGAGGGCGATAGGTGCTGTGTGCCAAAAACACCCCCACTCAACATACAATGAACAGTACATTGGAAAGAAGTTATTATAGCCGTTTAATGTCAGGGTCGACAGCTGTGGAATGCTTAATGCTTGTATTTAAATTCAACAATGCAACATGTGGCATTCTCAGATTGTTCGCCAAAAACACTAAAAGCCACAATTTACATTTGTTTGAAACAGATGCAAATTTGCATGTTTGCAGTTAATAGTGTGTAATATTGAAGCTATTAAAACACAGCACAATAGCGCTGGCACTGTAAATTCATTAGTCTGTGAGTACTGCAGTATGAGAGCAGAGGTGATGTTGGACACAACAGAAGATATAGTTCAGTTCATGCCTCGGGCTCCTCACACCAGGTCTTCTGGTCGGCCGTCCTTGGCAGGTACAATTGTGCTTTCTGATTGGCTCTGCTGTTGGATCGTCCTGCTGCCCGGGCCCCCTGCCCTCTGGTTATTGCTGTGCTGGTGAAGAAAGAATGCAGCTCCGGGATAGTGCCCCATCACTTCGCTGTACGCCGGCGGAGGACCCTCCATGCGCCCGTGGGTGCTCGAGTTGGCCGCGCTGATGCCCGAGTTACTGCTTGGCGGTCTGGGTCCACCTGCCCCACTGATCCCGCCTCCCAAAACCCCGCCCCCTCCCATGTCAATCAAGTCACTGTCGTAGATGGTCCGGTTGGGTGGCGCCCGCACTGATTCGCGGTTCAGCTCCATCTGCTGCTCAGGGTCTCGCAGCTGTAAGGTGCAGGGGCCCTGGTACGGAGGCGGCTCCTCTCCGTCCGACAGGGAGATGGTCGGGGGCAGGTCGATCTGGTGCTGCAGGTACGGGTACGTGGGCTGGAAGCGGCTGAAGCGGTCGCGTTGCATGAAGGAAGGCGCTGTGAAGCGGTCCCGGTGTGTTTGAGGGGCGTACATCACCTGCAGAACACACAAGAAGGATCACATATTTGTAATCTTGTATACATGTTGTAGTTGTGTATGTCTCTTTAAACGCCTTAAAATTCGAGAGAACTATATTTATCTCAGGTGAAATGTAAAAGTTTCTATTTAAACCACTATTATAGATTCAACCAAACATGTGTCTTGTGGAACCAAACTTCACTTAAACAAAAGCTCCAGTCAATGAAAGTGGAGAGAATTTGACAATATCTGGTTTTGGTACAAGCCACATTATTTGTAACTCATCACATCCAGGCTCAATGTCAGCCACCTGAAAATTGGCCAATTCTCCACCACTTCTCTTCATGCTGTATTTTTGTGGCATGTCTTTTCCACAATTAGCTCTTCAGAGTGTGACAGCATGATCTATTTTGCACATTTTTGGTCCCTTTCGACACATTTTGTTCAGTGGCAGCAAGTCGTTATCGCAAGGAACCCATTTCAATTAGTGCAATGTGGCTCTAATGGCCTGCCCCCACTGATGAACAGCCAGACGAGATGGAGAGAGTGAGAGAAACGGAAAATAAAAAGAGAATGGATAAAGAGCAGAGGCAGGTGGCGGAACAATAACAAACTGGAAAACATTGTTACTTCAAATCAAAAAGGATCATATCTGCTGGTCTGGGACTTCAGGCGTAAACTTGGATCTCCTGTATTATCTGCTACAAAGCTTCTCTCCTCTTGGTTTATGTTTATTGCACCCTATGTCTGTAGAAATATAGTTCATGTCATACCATCAAATAGGCCAGTCACAATATGACTTTTAAATGTAGGATTTAAAGATGTATTGAAATAAACGATAACATTGAAGGGACTTTGTACCATTGGTCCAATTTTAATACAGCAGAAGAATCTCAGTAAACCACTTGTAATTTATCTTAGTCATAAGCTGAAACTTATAAAAAGCATAATTAAGCCAAAACAATGGCTTATTTTTGCCCAAATGGTTATTGGTTATATGTTTATGTTATTTCACGTTTGCTTCAAAGGCAGACAATGCTGATAACGTACAAGTCAGTTCAGAAGGCAGGGAGAAAAGGGCCAAAAGTGTTGTGATGAGACAGGTGGATGGATGTGAGGGAGGAGTGGAGGTGTGAGTGTGCACAGCGCACTGGAGCAGGGCAGCTCTCAGACGGCTGTCTAGACAGTGTCAGGGGAGGTGCGGCTGATTAATGACGCACCAACCCCCCCCCCCCTCTGCCTCACACACACAGGCAGGTCTCAGTATCTTTATAGGGATGTGGGGACCGTAATTAATTCAGCCATGATTTGATCCTCGGCTCTGTGACGGGAACATTTCAATATCATTTGCAACGGTGGGGACTAAAGGCTGAACTCATGGTCACAGGTTAGATTGACTAAGAGTTTCATATTGCTATGAAATGTGTCACTCTCGGTAAATAAACAGTGAGAGGAGAAAATGATGTCTGTGGATGTTTATCTTAACAGCTGTTTAAAAAGAGCATTTTACCCTTTAGATGCCAAAGTAGCCTCATTTTTACATGAGCTGCTGAATCCAGGACACTTTTATACAGGGACCTGGCTGTACACAAACAATATTTCCTTATATATACATAATTCATTTCTGTCATTTATGCCAAGTCCTATAAAAGTAGTCCTCTATCTCTTATAATGGTATAGTGTTTTAATGTGTTTATTTAACCTACAGTTTTAAAAGGGCTCAGCATTTTCCTCTCCAAGTAGTTTTCACATCGCTCTCTCAGTCCGCCCTTTCATAGCCACTGATACAGGCCAAAAGTCAAGACTACTCAACAGTAAGATGAATGTGAATAGACTGTAATAATCATGTTTTGTACTGACAGAACAGTTCATAGTTAACACGAGAACTTTCAGAGCCGTCAATTTGACACTTTATTGTTTTGAAAGTACACTTACTCTACTTAGGAACATTGCAGATCTTCCCAACTTTGTGACTTTTTCTGTATATACACATAGTTCATTTGTATGAAATTATATTTTATTTTTAAAACACAAGCTTGCTTTTTGGTTGCTTGGTAACCAACATAGCATTTGGCCTCTTATTCTGTTTACATATAAGAAGACATCTAGGATCTGTTGCTGTCTGTGTGGTTATCAGGACTGGCTGTCTGAAAGCAGATTTGGAGCGTCTGCGAAGGCAAAAGGGCAGCAAAACAAACTTGCATTAAATGGCTTGGGTGGGAAAGTTCACACAACATGCTCCCTGCCAAAGTTTTTACCTTAACGGACTAGTGTGTTTTGTCATGTTTTCCCAAGTGTCTCTTCTTTTCTCCAAAAAGCACTCCCGTTCATAAGATTTGCCATCTGCTATAGCGGCCATTATCCAAATCGAGCCTTCTCTCTGTCATATTCAGGGACTTGGGTGAGAATACAGCCCTCTAGGGAACATAGCCAGACTGTTGTTTTAGTATATAGTGCCAGCCAGAAAAGCCTCTCTGCATAGTTTAATTGTTGTCATTATTGGCTGAATATGAGCGTACACATTTACGGTCTCGGGAGGGTTGCCAGATTTGCCACACTTCGCCCATCTTACAAGCTTATAAATACAAAATGATATGATCTTTGTGCTTGGGTGCCTTAAGCATCTCAAGCAAATCTGCAATTAGCCTCCATTTAAGTGAATTTCACAATCTCAAAGAAACATATTGTTAGTATCGAGTGGCTTCTAAACATAGATGGTTCCTACATGGATCGACATCTGATATCAAGCATCCGAACAAGCTTTCATCTTTTATCTCTTGGCTGTATTGGTTGGTTTGCCGCCTTTGGAAAGTTGCCATGTTTAAGATTTGGTGCCAGCCAGCCATACCCGTTCTGTCATCCATGGCTCAATTTCTGTCAAGATCAAATATTTACAAGCTTATGAATACAAATGTTATGATCTTTGAGCATTGGACTATGCAATTGAAACCACATAGCAATTAGCAAAGATAATGCACCAGGCTCTAAGCTGCCGACAAAGAACACAGACTCTCCGCAGAATTTCAAATAGGCAACATTAGCCAGTAAAACTTTCCGATGAGTAGCTGCCACATGCCGTCATTTTTAAAGGCTGTCTTGTTGCAGCACATTGAACAAAATGCCTCCTCCAGTCTGCGTTGTGGTGCTCAGAGTTCATTTAGTTTATGGCATCAAACAGGAAGCAGGAAACTCTCTTAAAATACAAATGGCCCGGGGAGAAATGTGTAATAACAAGTCAAAAGATGGTGGAAAACATCTCCAGCGGGTTGAAAAAATATCACACTTAGGAGACTTGTTTTGGGGAGGAAGCAGTAAATTAAAGTAGTCTCTCCTGGAGCTAAAACACAAGTTGGATGATAGTTCTGAATTTCATACCCTGTGAAATGTTATTTTAAAGTGTAATGATATAGTCCTCACTCAACCCTGTCAGACAAATGCCTTTCGCACTTTTTCCCAGAATCTAACAGTCAAGAAAATAATACATGTGCTGCAAGGCTTCTTATTTGTAGATTGTATAAATTTTCATGAAAAAACACAGTTTTAAATGACACATTCTGTGCATGATTAACAGTTTAATAAAGTTGCATGGTTGTGCGTCCCTGTGACCCGGCAACGGATAAAGTGGAGGAAGGAAATGGATAAAGTTAAATTCGAAATAAAACGAACACAACTGTATTTAAAAAAAAACATGAATCATAGATTTAGATTAAAACAAAAAGGGAAGAAAACATCTGGGGGTTTAAATGTAGAGATGACAAGGACTGCAGCCATCGTTTTTATTTCTTATGTAAAATGACAAAGGTCCATCCATCCATTTTCTACCCTTTAATCCATTTCTGGGTCAGGGGGGTGGCAGTCAGAGATGCCACCCAAGTCTCATAGCACCAGCCCCTCACTGACCCTCTGCAGGTGGTGAGTCCACAGGAGGACGGCTGCTCTCTAAGTGTGAGCATAGCCTTGATCTTTCAGTGGGGGCTTTTGGGCAAAGTGGGGTTAAGTGTCTTGCCCAAGGACACAACAACAACAGTCATCAGTGGGAGTCGATGGAGAAGGTGCAGAGGTGGGAATTGAACCCACGACCTTTTGGCCTTAAGGCCAATGCTCTACCAACTGAGCTACTGTCGCCCCCCACAAAATGACAAAGGTTTAGCTGTAAATGATTTAATATGAAATATTACATCAGTCTGCAGTTTGTTTTCATAATACATCATTTTTAATTAATTGAAAAAAAAAAAACCTTACTGGGATTATGCTACTTTATTGTACAAGCTTCATGGGTTGAAGGAGTTTTGATATTTTAGCTTCTTTAAATAATTTTCTAAATCAATATATCATCCATCAAAATGAGTGATCATGCCTAATTACGACACTTAACACCAGTGGCGGCTGGTGGAATTTTCTACTGGGGGGGCTATGAATATGATGACTAGATATAAATGCACCACAGAATTTGACACAGTCTATTATTTTTGATAGGATGTGCCTATTCTTGTCAACCTCCTCATTGTGCTTTCTGATCCCTACCCTGTAGCTTTCATCCAGCTGGGATGAAATATTTATCTTCCCAAACATAGCTAATTTGAGGGCATTTTGCATGTGGATACCAGTCTGCTCATGCTTCTTTGCCTTTTCTAAAAAGTGCTTCAGATCAGTCATACCTGTCTTGATCCATGCTGGGTCAGATCCTGATGTTTGAAACAAGAGGCATGGAAAGCAAAATAAAGCATTAGCCTCGCTACATGCTGCTAGCCAAGATTTGGCGCTGAACCAGGTCCTGGAAAAAGTACGAGTGTACCGTCTCCCCCTGTCGCTGGACTGCTGACTAATGGTAATATTTGGCTGATCAGGTCCAAGCTCTTTAACCTCAACCTTCTCCTGGTATGATCTTCTCTCAAACGGTATTGTTTTGAGTGATCTAACTGAATTATTCTTTTTTTCGTTCTCCATGTTGCGCCTGTTTACGTTCGTCTCAAACTCCCACAACTTGACCTGTCAATCACTGTAAACGGACGTCACAGACAGTGACAGTACAGGTCGCGGGCGATCCCGCCCCCTCAGGGCGCACTTCTCCTGCGCCCCCAAATCGTCTTATCTCTTGCATTGAAGAGGAGCTACTGCGCATGTACAACTTTTAACGAGAGTCCATAGACGGCTCAGGGCGCAATCTTTTGCGCCCTGAGGCGGAAATACGTCCTCAGTCCGACACAGACAGCGCTGATGAGCTTAATCAATCCAACTCAGCATAAACTATAAAGTATTTCTTCCACATCTGAAATAAAACACACATACATTTCGAAATATTTTAATGTTATTATTTTTTTTAACGTTTTATTCAAGGTAACATGGCAAGTTGTGAGTGGTGGGGCGGCGCCCTAGCGCCCTCTATTGGCCGGCCGCCACTGCTTAACACTTACCGTGGATCACTCCTGAATGAAAGAGGATCACACTTTCTCATGATAGAGAGATTTGTTTAGGCAAAGTTTTATATTGTCCTAGCATTGTAAAACTAAATAATAAATATTTACAATATTCTGTACCTACATTCTATTTATTAAGTGGTTTGACAAAAATCCATGTAGGTCATATACAATATACTATACATTAGGGCTGCAGTGGACCGAAGAAACTGATAAAACGTGTGATGAGATGTAAATGTATACCAATATTTTCAGTTGTTTTGTTCCTTATCATTTCTCGTTTGCAACAATTGTATCGACCAAGGAAGCGTGGACCGACTAATCAATAAAATGATTACAAAGTGAAATTGTTACAGTGACAATAACAAAGTGCAGTGATCAGAGTGGGTCTCACCTCCGAAGCTCCTTGTCGAGAGCCACTGTCAGAAGGCCATAGACACCCCTCCTGCAAAACACATACAGTAGGAATCAAATATACACAGGTTTAACACGGTGAGACCAGCCCAGAGCATGTCTGATCCCTACCAACTGGTCTTGTTAACAATACGTTATCCTTTTTGATGCAGACCAAGTGATCACTAAGACGTGTAAGTGTGCATCTTCAGCCTAAATTAATGTGAAAACCCGCCGCTGCTAATAACACTAGTTCCCCTCCCTGGCTTTGATGTCTGCGCGTCTGGGTTGCCGTTTTGATGTGCGAGACCAAAAAAGCAGACCAAAAAAAAAAAAAAAAATTCCAAATCACTTTCTTCCTTTGCCGAATAATAAAAGGAAAAGAAGGGGTGTTGAAAAATAACATCTTAATGAGCAGACAAAAGAAGAAAAAAAAACAAACAAACCCGAAACCGTTCCATGTTTTTGGAGTCGCAAGGAGACACAACAAAGATAAAGCTCCCGTCAAAATAATTGGCCGCTTCCTTTTTTCTACGTTTGACTTTGGGGAACTTTAGCGAGACGCAGCAGTCTACAACATTTAGCTGCAGAATATAGCACAAAGAAACATGAAAACCAGAAAAACATTGAAATAGTGTCTCTGTACGGATGTGATGGGAGCAAGAAGGCTGTGGCTGTTGTTTTACCACTTGCTTTGTAGCTTCCTCACGCTACACGCGCAACATACATTTAGTGATTCTTTTTTTTTGGCTTTGTGTGGCCATCTCTCCGTCCAATCAAAGGAGACATTATGCAAAGAGCGGAAACGCAGATGGAACAGAGGTGATGCAGAGGTGAGCGGCTGCATAATTTCTGTAGAGCAACTATCATCCAGGAATTCGCGACTTGTTCCACAGCCTACCCTTAAACATTACTTTACAGACTCTAAAAAATCTTATTGTTTAAGTTGGATTTTTTCATTATTCAAATAAGATTGAAAACAACTAATGTTAGAGAATGTATAAAAGAGAGTTGGAGTTTGGGTGAGAAATGCCGTATAGTTCAAAAACTCTTTACAACTACAAATATTCATCTTATCACACTATGAATTAACAAACCCACAAGGAAATCTAGTTGAGACTAATGTTTCTTTGTATGCAAGTTTAAAGAGAACATAACTTCGGAATGCATGTTGTATTTTGTCTGTTTTAACTACTTACATGAACATAAACTATTGTGATTTTCTTGTTTGTGTGGTGTAGAATATCTGAAGACAAAAAACTAGGACTGAGGTTTGTCTTGGTTTAGAATTCAATTCTCTGTAATCCTTGGGTTTATCTTCTTATTCTCTCATAATAAAGTTGTCTAGACACAATGACAACATTCAAAAAACATATGCGTGATGTTGGGCCGTAGCAGAACAGGTTTGTGGATCCAAATCCTATTGAATAATAATCTTAGAAAGCTTGAATTGTATCCTCCAAATGAAATAGAATGTCGGAATATGAACACAGCCTATTAATACCATAAAACTTTAAAACCTGTAATAAAATGCATGTATTTTGTCCCCTATCATAGTTTTCCCATGCATGACAGAGTACCAGCCCTAACACCAATGCTCTCAGCAAAAAAGAACAGCTAGAAAACTGCATGTTGTATTGAATGTGAATGTATTTATTAAAAAAAACAGTTTTCCAGCTATAATTTAGAAAGGTAGGTGAACACAGAGTAGACGTGCGGAACATTTTTGTCCTGGTTTCGACACATGAACGCATCAGTCTAAAACCGTGCGGTCAAATACTCATCAAGGGCCTGCCGCTACCACTGCAGAAGCATTACATTCTGCTGCCTCTCCAAATCTGGGACATGAAGGGACGAGATAAAGGTTTTCATTCAGCCCAGCGGCAATGGGACAAGCTGAAGAGGTGCCATGTTTGTCCTGCCTCGGAAATAAAGAGCCCACAATGGCTGGTCCAGGACAGGCAGTGGGAACAGATGACGAGACTGGGACTAGCAGTTTCCATTCCACGCAGGAAACAAGACGCTGCCAGACACCAGAACACACCAGAGGACAAAACAAGAGAGTGTGTGTGGGGCCAAGATGAAGGAAAGAGCAGTGGAAAGGGTTTAATCAGACATGTTTGGGCTGCTGATGAAATAAAAGGTTTTATTTAGTGTATAATGTCTTAGTTTTTTGGTCTTAGTTCAATAGGACTGAAAATCTCAAATTGCACTTTAGTTACAATTGAGGATCTTATTTGTGGCATGGCTTTGAGAGCGTACAGGCTCTCAGCGAACAGGCTGGAATTATTTTTTAAATATTGACATGATTGAATGAATACCTGTCAATCTATTCTTTAAAAACACATACCTACCAAACTATTTCAATATTCAGTATGTTTGAAGTCTAATTTTATTTTAAGTAAAAAAAATAAAAGTTTTTCTAGTAGAATAGCAATTTTTTTAAAAATATATATAAACATTTGAGGTATTTTTCAACTTTTCTCAGAAATGTCTGAGGCGATTTCTGCAACAGTTTTGACGGTTTCATCTCATACATTTTCATCTCAAATTTTTGAATGAGAAAATGCTTCTTTCAGACACCAAGTCAAAAATACTTTTCGTTCCATTGACCAACCTCCCAAATATTCTCAAATTCAGTGACATGTTATGCTTTTTAGTCACCTTTTTGTTTGCATTTTTTGCCATTTTTTGCTGCACGATTCCAATTAATCATGCAGCCTAAATCAGTCAAAAGATTATTGTGTACTCATTCTGTGCCCATTGGTCCTTCAGTCTTAACATCAGACTTGTATCACACTTTTTCTTGATTCTTCAGCTATAGTCGTGGTTGTGTTTGTTTGTGTACCTGCTGCATTGCATGCTCGTGCCGCCGCCCCTGGCTCTGTCGGCTGATGAAAGACCAGGTGGACAGTTTATAGTGGTTCAGCAGACAGATGATGACCACCACCATCACCGTCATCACCACAATAATGATGACGATCTGAACAAACTCCAGTTCGGCTGAAACACACAAGAAGAACAAACAAAATATTAAATTGACATAAAAATTGAGGCAAGGTTGAGATCGTTTTGAAAGGATCAAAAGATGTTCTGGTATTATAGTATTCCGCAAAAACAGTCTATATAGAGAGAGTTCGGTCATTTATTCAGTCAGGTATTTGGTATTAATACAAGATTTTTTGAAAGGTAAAATTCCAAACTAAAATTTGGACTAATAGAATTTAGCAAACTTGTCAAGGGCGACTACTGAATGTCTGTCTATCGTCTTGGTAACAATATTTTACCACACACAAAAAAGATAGTGATTCACTCAGTAAATTCTAAAGTACAGGAAAAAAGTATTGAACAAAAAATGTCATTGGACAAAGAATAGAAACAACCCAAATACAAGCATACATTCCCATTTAAAGCTGCTTCACATACTTGTATAGCACATTTATGACTCTCGCTGTGTATATATTGGGAGGTGGAAAGATCAATCATATAAATTGTATATTGTTTGATCATGACAAGCCTCGACCAGTAGGGGACAGCACACACCAGACTGTGCCAGGAGCTGTGTGGCTGTTTACAAGTGTAGTTTTGAGAGAGAGCAGAGGAGAAATGTCCAAATCCTTTAAAAAGATGAGTTGTTGTCTGCAGTGACAGTGGTGTCTTTGTAAGGCCCCTGAATGCAGTCTGTGTCCGTCCCACTCAGACCAGGACCGTTCCGGGACAGGGATGGACGCAGCAGAGGAGACACAATGTGCACTGTACTGTCCTGTCTGACCCCGACTATCCTCCATTTGTCATTAGTCTGTCTGATTCACTGATTTTTAAAGTTTTCCATTAGACACAGCACAACTCTTTAAAGCTGGACCACTTTTTTTCACATAAATCAGTTCATTCGGCGATCACGAGGTGGTGTTTTTCGATAAACATTGATTTTAAAAGTTAAATACAATATTATAATAATAATGCATCGGTTTTATATAGCTCTTTTTGGACACTGAATAACGCTTCTTGACGTTATTCATTCACATGCACGGTGGTGATAAGCTACTGATGCCACAGTTGACCTGGGGCACACTGATGGCAGCGAGGCAACCAGAATGTGCCACTGGCTGCTGTGACTACCCCGAATCATTCATGCGCACACACCAGACTCGTTCTTGGCAATGTGGGTGAAGTGTTTTGCCTAAGGACACAACAACAGTCTGGCACTTTACAGTCCCACTGTAGCACCTGGTGTATATAGATCTTGTATTTATATTTTTCATAGATTCTTTCCCCTGTTTTATAGTGCAGAGAGACATTATTTACTGCATCATATGCTATAGTTATATGCAAACGATAGTTGATATATAGAAATATAGATATAGCAATAAATCAACTGGAAATGAATGAAATTGAAAGTCCCCTGTAAACTGGTCTGTATCGTATCATATCATGCAAACAAATAGTGTATAAAGATAAACAGTCCTACGAGAGTCTGACAAATCTGACCACTACAAAAGAGAAAGAAGTTATTGTATAGTGTAAAAAGCATCACAACACTTTGGGGGGTTGGCTGATTGCTTAAATTGGGGGTTGCCCTACTTCTCTGTTCTTTCTGAAAAAGCTGTTCTAAAGTGGTGACATTGTCCAAAAGATCCTTGCACATGTGACCTGCTAAAATGTTTATGAGACCGGGGTTCCAGACTTCATGGGAAGTAAAAAACAACAAATTCATACAACACTACAGTGTAGGACTATATTAATTTTAGTAATCGGTTAATATATTGATTATTATCTAACTTAAATACTTGTGTTATTGTTACGTTCCACAAAACAAAACTGTATATTATTGTACTTCACCTCAGCCGTTTCAAGTCAGTGTCAGTGGGCTACAGCCTCACATGGTTTTTGGGTAATCAAAAAATAATTGAAGCAATGAATTTTAAATTGACTTTTCTCATAACATCCATTCAGAAAATGTATTTTATTAGTGCATGACTTCTTCAGAATTTGAGCATGGACAGTTAAAGTGGGTTATGGTCGTCTTCAGTGTCTTATTCTATCGACTGTATCTGATCTCATGGGTCATTTAAATTGTGATGCATAAAACCAGATTTGCACATCAGAGCTTCTCTAACTCTCCATCTCAGCGGCCTCGCTGCCCTCTCACTGTCTCTCCCTCTCCTTGGTCTGGCTGAAACAACGACTCGATAATCGACGACAAATCGATATTAAATAGTCGTCAACTATTTTAGTAATCGATTAATCGTTTTCTGTCCGTTTCACACGACTCAAACAAGAGCAAAAATGACATGAAAATGTAGTATTTTGCTAAAAACCCGGACTTGGTTTTTATAATTACATGAATATCTGTCTGTCTCTCCAATCTGAATAGCAGTATTAGCACAAAGAGCCTGTACAAACATTTACTTTAAGTTTACGCCAGCAATACGTCCTCGAGTGTTGCACTTTTAGCTTTTTGTGATGAAAAATATTTTTTCCTACACAATTCACAGCCAAGCGATACTCGCTTAAATCGTAAAAATTATCGATAATCTAATCGATTACAAAACATCGTTAGTTGCAGCTCTACCTGGTCCGACTCTTGAACTCCACTCCCTCTCCTCCACCTCTCTCTTCCTTTGCTTCTGTCAAAGCGTCTTTTGTTGTTGCAGTTGGACTGTTGAAGTCGGTCTCTTGACCTTGTCTGGTCTGGCACTGGTTGTGACCTTTGAATCACTCGCTGGACACTGACACATCTCTCTATGTGCAAGCATCAACGTCTGCTTTCTTTCTCCACACAACTAAGAGCACAACCATTGCAGGAAAGTAGATTTGATAAAAACAGCAGGGCTGTTGTCAATGTATACAATTCAGGTAGTAGCAGCGTGCACTAATGTTTAAAAATGTGGAGGGCGGCTCTTTACTAAAATTTGTGAAAATCCTTCTATACCTTTAAGGCTATAACTATGGGTGACACCAGCACTTGGTCAGTCTACTCCTAATATACACAGGCAGAATACAAAGGCCAATCAATGACAGCAATTTAGAAATACATTATATTTCCTTATTTCATTAGAAGAGCTAATAGAATAACCCAATCCACCTTTAAGCCCTCTACAAAACCTGGAGTATCAAACCAAGGGATAGCCAATGATTCAGCCTTTTCATTCCCACCAGAAAGTCCCTTTTTGAAAAAGTCAACCAAAGCCGGGCCTATCCCCTCTGCCCGAGCCTATAGTAATCCAGGCAGGCTTATTTGTCAGCTTTAGGCCAAGTTAATGTGGAGTCAGAGCCGAAATCCACCCAAACCCTCTCCACCGCAGCAGCAGCCACAGGGGACGAGTGGGGAACGCCTTGAGAAGAAGGAGGCCAGACCGCATTGAACGGAAAATATGGAGGAGAGTGAAACCCAAGCCAGTAAAACTAACCAGCGCTAACAACTGTTATTATAGGATGCTTAGGAGCTGGAGAAGAGATGGATGAATGGAGAAGATTCATAATGCGATTGTTGATATATTGAAATTAACCTATTAACTGCATGCTATTAAATCATTCGGTCTGTCTCCATTTGTCAATAATAAACTGAACTGGTGGGTAATAGTTAAATTTGAGAGCTAAATTACAAAAAGTCCAATAAAGAACAATGTTGTTGGGATACAATGGCCATATCAGGCTGCTGTCTGCCTCTTAAAAGTCTAAGCAAAAAGTTGCAACAAAATCAAAAATCAACCCAAGCAGAACCAACTGTGAAATGTGATCACATCAGCAGAAAACGGCTGAGAAAGCTGTAGAGCCAAGCAATAATTGCAGGAGACAAACCAAATACAAAGCATATTTCTCAATTCCTTCCATAAAACGTCCTGAGTTTAACTAAACGGCCTTAAGGTTCATGAGAAAAGGAGAAAATGCTTTTGTCCTGGGACTGGAGGCATCTGGGAGCAGCCTTGGCTTGTGCTAGCCACAAACCACAGAGGGGACCTTACATTCAGAGCATAGCCTTCTGGGAAATGGAGAGTGCTGCTGCTGCTCAGGGCAACAGGCTGAGAGGAAATACTTTACTCTCAAAGTTTTTTGAAAGGATTAAATGTCTCAAAATATAAATTTCCTGGAGCATACCATCAACTGTACTTGAACATTTGAGAAGAGAGGCAATACTTTCACACATGTTTATTTTGACAGTATGAATAGTTTTGCTGTCTCACGGTTATAGAACGTTAGGTTTTAATTTTAGGGTTTAAAGAGTTACATGAATAGATTTACATACTGCACCCACACATTGAGAATTTAGATTGAGATGACACTATAGACCCACTATAGTGCTGGACATGTATATTGTATTATTGTTGTAGTTATTGTACAGCATACCTGCCTACATAAACAAAGTTAATGTAAGAACCAGATGATAAATTGTATGCTTTGTGATCAGCGGTTTGGTGATTCCTAGTTTGCAGAACACAGGAGGAAGGAAGCGCACCGCCCAGGCCATGAAGCACACGGTGTACAGCTGCTTTTAGGCCAAGTGCAGGGGAACAGAGTGTGCTGCTGTCTGCATTACCACCAGCACCACCAGCCTGATGTTATTACAACACTAATCCACTTGTCAAAACAATATGAGGCGGACGTCTGCAGCTCCCATCCTACAGCAGGGTCCGGCATGTGCACCGTGAGCCAGCAGTCCGTGGGCTTTTGGGCAGAGAGGCCATTGAGTTTATCCAAATCACATCAAAGTGACCACTGCTGCACTGCATTGCTCTAATATACAATTTTCTGGAAATGAAAGGGCTGAGGTGTTCCAAGTTCCTGAATGTGACACCACCTGGTCAAAGCTAGATTTTGAATACTGTTGGAGCAAATGTCCAAAGAAAAAAAAACAATATGTTCAAAGGAATATAGAGGAAAACACATAATGCAATTTTGATATTCAAAACTAAGAATACCGTATTGTTAATTCAAACTTTAGCTTTGTTCTTCCCTCTACTTTGATTGAAGAGTACAATCGACTCTTCAATCATTATTCTCAT